TGAAAGGGAGGCCCTTTCCCAGGGTTGGCTTGACTAAAACATAGACTTCTTTCTTTAAAGAAAGATTATTTGTTTGTTCGTTGTTGTTGTTATTGCTGTTTGTGTGTGTGTGCACACGCACATGTGTTTGTATGAGTGTTCTGTGTGCACTTGTGGGAACATGGAGTTCAGAAGATGGTATCAGGTGTCCTCCTCTGTCATTCTTCACCTAGTCCTTTGAGGCAGAGGCTGTCCTTGAACATGAGGTTCATGTTTTCTCTGCAGTGATGTCCCAACAATTCTCCTGTCTCTGCAACCCCCCATCTTGAAGCTGGGGCTACACGTATTGAGGGGGATGCATGACTTGGTATTCTGGTGTTCGATTCCCAAACCCTGTCTTCATGATCACACAACATATGATCTCAATCACTTAGACATCTCCCCAGCCCCAAATTTTTTATTTGAAATCCTCTCATTATTTCATGATTACACATATCTCTTTGGGGCTATCGACTCTTCTCTTATGTAAAGGTGGGACACTGAGGTGCACAGCAGCTAGATCCCTGAACCTGCTGGCCACAGTAATACCAGCCAGTACTCCAGTAACAATAGTACCAATCTCTGTCCAATCTCAGCAACACCTGCTTGTAGTTGCATTGCAGCTGGATAATGCTTAATCAACTTACTTTCTGCAAAATAGTGCTTCAGAGATTAAGGATGAGTGAAAACCACAGCAGTGACTTGGGACTGATGTCTCTACATTTACTGAGACATAGTTTACAGAACCAGGCATGGAAACAGCTTACATCACTTCTGCCTGAATGCCGTTGGCCTTGACTCCTCACTGTATGACTCTGGTGTGACTCTAAACTAAGGAATTAAGAGGAGCATGTATGCCTGCCTGTTGCAGAGTATGTTTCCATCAGTCTGTCCTTCCCACACATCCCATAGACAGAACATAGCTATAGTAGCTATGATCTTTCTCATTGCTGAGACAAAGCACCTAATAAAAACAACTGAAGAAAGACAGGTTTGTTTTAGATCCCAGTGTGAGGGTTCAGTCCATCGGGGTGGAAGGGATGTGGGGCAATTGATCACACTGCATCAGTAGAGAGAGATGGACACTGGTGCTCAGTTCATGTTCTGTCTTTCATTCAGGCTAGATCCCACCCTTTGGAGTGGCACTACCCTCACTTACAGAGGGTCTTCCCATCTCAGTTAACCTAATGTAGCAATTCCTTCACACACACACACACACACACACACACACACACACACACACACACACACACACACATCTGTCTCCTAAGTGCTTCTAGACCCCGTTGAGCTGACAATGAATGTCAACCATCCCTAAGAGTGATGGCTCAGTTCCTATGGTGACACAGCAATCATCATCTAAAGTGTGTGGGGTCCCTTGGGGATGGCTGATCCTCTCTGTCAGATGTGGATTTGGATCCATCTTGTCCAGTGCCCTGTGTGCTGAAACAAATCATCTCTACACAGCATGTAAGGTTTTAGAAGGAAAGCATAGCGCATCCAGCTCCGTGATTGACAGGGCTCTGCAGCAATGCCACAGCCATTCTAGGCTTGCCTCTTACCTCTAAGAACACTCTTCTGTCTTTTGCATCTTGGCTTCTGGTTGCCCTGGTGAGATCCTTCATTTTCTTTCTTTTGCCTTGGCAACTGCTGAATGGGGCATTGAAGGTAGATCTCAAAATTTGTACTCAAGCCCTCAAAGAATCAGCCCACACTACTTTTGTCAAGTCCCAGTGCTTCTGGTATTTTTAAAGAAAGTCTAAATTCATATATCTTCATTCAGGCAAGGGTCAACTTCTCTGCCCAACACTCCCTGTTGGAATCTTTGTTGTTGCTATCCTCTGTGTTTTGTTTATAAGTATCTAAGTGATACTGATGTTAGTGTGAGAGCTATTCATAGTCTATATATCTTGATTTGTGGGGGCCTAGGGAGATGAGGCACAGTCTAATCTTTGAGTCCCATTACCCTAAGGTCACCACGATAGGGGAGATACTTCAATTATGGTGTGTTTGTAGGGACCAGGTCTGAAAGTGGCTTACACCATTTGGTTCCTTACTCCACTGGTTAGTATTCCTTCACAAGGCCCTCATGTAACTGCTATTTATCTTGGGGGTGCTCTGCAGTCTTGGGGACTATGCTCATTTTGAATTGACAGTAACTTTTAGTCTGGGCTCACTCATGGTTTCATTGATAATTTAGTATGATTTTTTTCAATACCTTTGGAGGTTTCTCTTCTTGGTACTCAACCAGTTCCTAAATGTATGCCTTATTTCTCACTTCTTTTATTCCATTTTTATTTAAATTAAAAAGCAATCTTATTTTACATACCAATCGCAGTTCCCTGTCTCTCCTGTCCTCCCATTTCCCCCACCATCTCCCCACCCCACCCCCCCATCCATTCCTCCAAGAAGGTGTCATTTCTCACTTCTCAGTGAGACATTAGGCTTGCATAAACAAAGTTATATTTTGTATCTGAATTTTACCCTGTCATTTCGTCCAGTGAAGAGGATTTTACACAAGAGGAGGGGAAAGACAGACAGACAGACAGACACACACACACACACACACACACAAAGAGAGAGAGAGAGAGAGACAGAGACAGAGATTTGCACCCACACAGACTGCATTTTCTGAAGTGTAAATCTTTGAATTTGTGGGCTTCATTCTCTTGTCTGTAGCTCAAGGACAGTCAGTTCTTTCCTAAACTGTTTTCCTTACAGCAATACTTGACAAATGCAGACAGAAGCAATCAGCATACTATCAACACACGTTTTACAAAATTTCTGTTTGGAGCTAAGATTTCTGTGGACAGACTCTAACAGCTTTCGTGCTTTGGAACATGGGCCTTCATCATTTCTTTTTTCTTTTTAATTTGTGGCTATAAGCAATGACCAATAATTTAGAAATATGGACTTCTTCACTAGAAATTGACCCCGTGGGATACCTTGATCTCAGGGTCCCAAGGCTGGAAGCGTAGGCGTTTTGCAGGCACTAAAGTACCTTACATCATTTCAATCCAAGTTAGTTGACATTTAGATGTATGACCACCAAATAAATGCAATTTGTGCTAGAGAATAAGGAAGGGTCCGTGAATGTAGGGTGGGTGCTCATGGTCTCTGCCACTTTAGGACGAAAAGGGAGAAATTTCAGGCAAATGACTCCCTTCATTTCTAAAGCAGAGATGACAGGAGAAGTCCTGTAATATAGAAAGAAAGAATATGAGGGACCCTCAAATGTGTCCTACCAATAATCCCCAGACCCATAGGAGAACTCCTTAGAAGGCAAAAGGGACATCTTCCCCACCGACAACTGATTAGTGTCTTTGGTGGTGGCACTTGGACATCTGGGATGGATTATGTTTGTTATGTTTTGGAGTGATGTTGGTGCCAGTATGAGGGCTGTGGAGCTACTGTACACTCCCACTTATAGAGACCTGTCAGGTTAGTAACTACCCAAGACTACTAGGCACATTAGTGGTTATAACCCATCTAATCTTTGAATTCCATTGACCTCGATGCCCAACTTTGGCTCACCCTCTTTCTGGTCGTATTCTGGGATTTCTCTCCAGTTATTCATGCCTAAAGGAGAAAAGGGACTATTGGCATAGATGAAGACAAACAAGATTATTTTTAAATCCTTAAAATGAAGATGTAGGCTAGTGGTGTATCTCACTAGATGGGTAGAATGCTTTCCTGGCATGTGGGAAGCCTTGGATCTGATCCCCAGTACTGCAGAAACTGTCTGCAGGGGCACACAACTGTAATCCCACAGCTGGAGGAGAGGTTGGAAGATCAGAATTCAAGATCATTCTTTGCTACATATTGAATTTTAGGCCAATCTAGGATACATGACACTTGGCTGAAAAAAAAAACAGAAAGAAAAAAACAAGGAAACAAAAACAATCAAGTCAGGAAAAAAAAAACCAAGAGAAGAGAAAGAAGAAAAATAGAAGAGGCAGTGCTAAATTTGGCATAGGTCATGTGAGCTGATTCTTTTGGCCTTGACACTGGGAGACCCTCCGCTCTTAACTGTGCATTCACTGTGATCTGCTTAACATTGACCTGAACCATAGGGCTTGTTGAATATCATTGTGGTGTGACATGTATGACTTTGTTTCAACTCCACTTTCAAGGCTATGAAATGACAGGAAGATAATAATTTAGGTGAAGCTAGTCTGCCTCCTGGTGGCTGTTTTAGGATTTGAAGCACGGCTTGGTGCTGTGTTGAGATGAGAACCAACTGACTGGAGGCTACAGGAGAGGGAGAAAGCTCTATTAGATCTGGCTGGAGCCTTGGAGCATGGTCACCGGTGCATTGGCTACTTGCCGTGAAGGTGCGGGCTCTCTCCTGACACCTTCTGTTTCTCCCCATGGCTTTAGTGGAGGCTCAGCTGGAAGGTGCAGGGGTCTGTCAGAATCTTATGTGAAGTGCCCTGTCTTCATTTCCCCTACCACCTTCTGACTGGCTGGGACAGAACTGTTTGAAGACTTATGGTTCCCAGGTGTGGAAGGGAATTTTCAAGGTCATATTGGTCCAACATATCTATTCTGAAAGCTAGAATGTCTGTAATATTCTGGACTGGAGGGACTGGGGGACTGTGAGGAGACCAAGCAGGTAGGAATCTGGTGCAATATGTTGTGTGAGAAGCCACAGCTCTGGGAAGTGAAAAGGTGTTTGGTACCATGATTAGGCTGATGTCAGCTGTCAGAGTCAAAACTGGACCTGGTTTTGAATGATCCCAGCCTGTCTGGCTTTCCCAACTAAGTTCAGTCATCTACAGCTCCTCCCTCTGCACCCATGCCCTGCTCATCTACAGCCCCTCCCTCTGCTCCCATGCTCTGCTCATCTACAGCCCCCTCCCTCTGCACCCATGCCCTGCTGGTCTACAGCCCCTCCCTCTGCACCCATTCCCTGATCCTTGCCACCCTGTTTATCCCTCCAACTTTGTTTTGTTCCTTAAAAAATAGCATCAAAGATAGGATTTTATGTAAAAAATATATTTATATGAAAATTCAATAGTCATACATATAACAATTCCACAGTATCATAACATTATTATTTTATCCTAAACATTTTGGAATAATATCTTTGTGCTGATTCTTGCAAAGTTCCTTCACAATACTGGAGCAAAGTAAATGGGGAAAAGTATTCTGCAGATAAAATGTTAAAGTGACGGAAAGTGTTCAGGGCTTTACATTCAAATCACACTAAAGTGCATAGCAAATTAAATAAAAAATTAATAACTTAGAGATAATTCCTTAAGTATGGTTGCTTCACATTCCTTCAGACAGCTTCTATCCCTTAGAAACAGAATCAGCCCATCTCACCACAGTTCTCAGAAAAGACAAGGGTTCAGATTTTTTGTTTCTTGTCTCCTAGGTTGGTTCCTGTTCGGGCATGAGCCTTCAAGGTTTTGGAGTTTGGGTTTTCATGTCCAAGTACTTCATGGCATCCTGGACCCACTGCTGATGGGCTTCAGTACAGATTTCCACACCCCTCTTGGTCTTAAAGCTGTGGAGAGAATGCTCTGTTAGAGAATATGTGACTTATTCTGTGAGTACCTGCCTGGTGCATTGCCCCAAACTGATGACACTACCCCAGGGGTGGAGGAAGGAAAACATAAGTCAGAGGAAGGACCTAATGGAAAGATGCATTCTTCACTTGCCAAAGGTAAGCCCCACCTACCTCCCGTGGCTCCTGAATGGAGAGGGAAGTCCTGAACTGATGACTCTGAAGAGTTGAGTTTTAGTTTTCCCATTGGAGGTTATCTGAGTTTGCGTTAGAGTCTCCATGCCTTGAGTGTATGGTCCTATCCACTGCCTCTGGGGGTGACTTAGCACTGATGGACAAAGGCAGGTGGTGTGTACTCACATCACAGCTTCCCAGGGGCAGTGACTACTGGTGATCCTTTTGTAACTCTCGAGATACTTCTTGGGGATCTTTGGTTTCTTGACATAGCAGCATGTGGGTGAGCTGATCCCACCTACAATGAAAGAACAAGAAAGGATTCTTTGTGGTGGATTTTGGGTCTCACATTTATGATTCATGGGATGGTAGAAGGCAATCAAGGAGGTAAGAAAAGACAAAAGGAGAAGTTTCCCAACCCTTGCGTATCATGTCTCTCCTCTTTAGGATGTCCCTCAAGTCTTTCTTATCCATATGGGTTATATGCCAGTCAATAGGGTCAAGAAGAGCTGATAACAATTCTGGATGACACTGGAAAGCATTAGCATAGTGACCCAGTTCCTTTGAGTAAGAAGACCATAGTTCCGAGTCCCCCTTTTCGATCAGAAAACTTTGTGTCTAGTTGTGAGCATCTCGTAGACACAGCCTCTATAGAACTGCTGTCACTGGGAGCTTGAGTGGCTGAAGCACATACTAGACCCTGGGACTCTTCCATTCTATCTTCTACCTGAGAACACACCCAACCCCAGACCCCTCTTTGATGACCCAGAACCCCATCACTGAAGAAGCAGCTGATGCAGGAACTATCTTGTTTGCACAAATGAGTCCTGCAGGGATTAGATTCAAGTCCTGCCTCTGGCCCCAGGCTGGCCTCATGCCCTTTCTATTGCCCTCCATTGAGACTATGGGTAGCCCTCATTCTGCAATGACCCATGAAAAGTCAGAAAAGAAGCAGGATGCTCCAGGGGAAAAGAAGGCAATGCCATTCTTACCTGGATGGGCCTGTGTGTGGATGCTGAAAGCAGCAGCTGTGAGAAGCAGGCACAAAAGCATGGCAGAGACCTTCATGGTGGAGAAAGGGAGAGCTGGCTTCAGCGAGAGCTGGCAGATTCTGAGCTGGCCTGGCCTCTGCTCTCCGACAGCTCTACCTCCTCATTTATGGGCAGCAAATAGGGAGGGAACTTCATTTGGAATGAATCAGAGGGGTGTGAGATTTGAGGCTGTCATATTTCCATTTAACACCAGGAATGGGAAATGAGGTAGTGGCTCTGTCCAGATAGAATGCTGTATTGTGAATTCTGGATATTCTTATCAGCTCAGATCCTCGGAAAGTAAACACTTTCTGTAGAATGAGGAAGGAAACAGAGATGACAAAGTCAAAAGTCAAGGGATTCTCATTTCTTTCTTTAAGCAAATTCTTAGGATTCCTAAGTGCAGAAACAGGCACTAAAAATTTGGCTGGATTTAAAAATGCACTCAAAGAATGACAGTTTGGGTAGCTTTTCAAATCTCGGAAGGTAGAGTAATAAAATGTTAGCCATAAAAACAAAAAAGAAAGGAAAGGATTTTCCAATTGCTTGTGTTTCATTTAGTTTTCAATTATATTCGGATTTCAGATAGGAAGGTTGGCAGGTCTCAGCTAGGCAGTACTTGCTTAGGATCTTACTAGGTAGATGATAGTTGAGGTTGGGGGTCATTCCAAAGCCTTCATTCCAAGTCTGGTATCTGAAAGAACTTAAATAGCTGTATGTTGGACCAGATGTTGTTCATTGGTTGCTTCCTATCCCTCGTTTTCCGCATCTCACTGTGAAGACCATATATTTTACATGGTGCCTGAAAATCTCCAAGAGCATAAATGACATCTCTTAGAAAGAGAGTGTAAAGGAACCTACAGACAAGTTTCAAAAATCATGCTATAGAACCAAGTCTGTAAGTCAAAAGCAGAGAGAGCATTTAGAATGAGGAAGGGCCCAGGTTCCATCCTCGGGAATCCTATTCGAAGGAGTTATAGAATGACACAGCACATGGGGCTCTTAGAATCTTGTGGTTTTCAAAATATCTGATTAGCTATGAAAATATATTTTCTAAGTAAAAGAACATAGGGAAGTGAAGCATATATTTTTAGTCTCAGCCCTCAGCATGTGAGAGGCTGAAGCAGGAGGATTGTGAGTTCAGGGCCAATCTACATTACAGATTGATTCATCATGTCAAAAAGTCCAGAGCCTGGGGATGTAGAGCATGCTAGGCATGAGTGGGTGCCCTGGCTTCATAGCAAAGACACAAACCTAAACAGTAACCAAGCAGCAATGTGAAAATCCAACCTTTGGCTTGAGAGAATACATTCACTAATCATATCACAGACAACTGGGAATTATCATCCAGCTAATATAAAGAATTCCCACAACTCAGCATCTAACCAAAACAAAGTAAAAAAATAGCTGAATTGAAAAGGGGCAAAGAGTATCAATGGATGTTCCTTAGGGGTGATAGACAACAAGCATGGAAAAGGATATTCCCCATTGCTAGTCATTGGAAGCTTGTGTAAGACCCCGAGGTTAGTGTTAAGTCCCTATATGTAAACAAATAAGAACGAAAAGGAAAATCCAAATCAAAACCATCATGAGCTATCACTTCACCCCATTATAGTACTTACATCAAAATAAAGATTGGTGTTAGAAGCTCAGTGGTAGAGTATTAGTTTAGCATATACAAGACTCTGGGCTCCAATATCAGTACTGTAAAAAAATAGTGGGCAAAGAATGAAGTGGGGAGTTGTATAGTGAGTATATAGTTTGGGTTTTACAAGGTAAAAGGCCTAGAGGTCTGTTGTCCAGTGATGTTAACATTAATTTCATAAACTAAACTTAAAGATGGAAAATATAGTGAATTTTGTGGTTTGTCTTTTTGCCACTGCTTTAAAAGTTAAGTGGGAGAATGAAGTCTTTAAAAAGTGAATTTTGTAGTTTACATTACAAACTGATGATTGTTCTTTAAGCAATGACTCATTGCTCTATTCCCGACACACTTGTATGCCCCGGGGATTAGGAATAAGAAATATTAGTGCTTACTGGGAAAGCAAAACTGAAAGAAACCCAAGCAGTGAGGCTGGAGAGAGGACTCAGTTGGTAAAGAGCACGCCATGCAAGCATGGGAACCTGAGTTTGAGCCGCAGAACCCACCTAAAATTTGAGCACAGGAGCACACACATGAAATCCCAGTTTGGGGGCAGAGTTAGGGATAGGAAGACCTCAAGGGCCCTCTGGCAAGTCAGTATGACATGATAAGTGAGTTTTGGGTTCAGTGAGAGACCTTGTTATTAAAACAAATACAATGTAGACAGTACTTGAAGAACACTGACAGGACTTTTGGCCTTGAAATCCAGCAAGAGAGACAATACCCAGAAGTTCTTGTACTTCTAGATAGGTACCAGGAAAGATGCTCCTTTGATCTTGTACTCAGGTCCAGCATCTCTGATCATGGCTTTAAGACCCATCATTTATGAGCTTCTGACTTGTCCCTTTGCGTCTATTGGCCATACTGGGGGTGAAGCCACACATGTCTTTCTTTAGTAGCTGTTGCTGCTGTTTGCTGGCTCGCAGAAGGCTGAAGCTAATTTACAGCTGGTACAAACCCTGGGCTTCCAATTATCTTAGCCATACAATTCCTTCAGAAACAAACAAACAACTTGCTATTCTGATCTACCGGTATAGACGTGTCGCATCTTTTCCTCTGCCCTCCCTCCGTGCCTTCCTGCCTGCTGTCCTTACTTCACCCACACCTGATCCAAGCTTGAATGAGAATTCCACATTTCTAACCATCTCCTTTCTTTAAACCACTTTATGTAAGCCTTTATTGTTCAAAACTTAAAAAAAAATCCATTCCCATGCCTTCATACCCAAATGCTTTTCAATAAAACTGAGAAGGCCATGCTCTCAAGAAAAGGTAGTCTTCCACAAATTGTGATGGGAAAACCAGAAATTCATATTTAGAAGAATAAAAGGAAGCCCCAGCTCTCGTGGTACATGAGAATCAACTCAAATGGGTTAAAGATGTAAAATGTGAGACCCGAAGCATGAAGGGACGGAAGGAATCATACAGGAGATGTTTCATGACGTGGGACTAGGGAGAGTTTATGGATAAGACCTCAAGGCATAGGAAATAGAGTCAATAACTAGCCAACCATGTTTGTATCAAGTGTAAGGGTTAGGAAAAGAAGCAATCATCTGCCAAATTCACAAATTAAGTCAGAATGGGAGCAGATATAGGAGATACCATCTCGTCTCCTTACTACCACCACATGCATAAATAGTACATTGCAAAAGCCACTTCCCAAATAAAGACACAGATAAATGAAAGAATCCTCAACTTTACTGATCATGAAGTGTGACAGTTCCAGAGCTACCTGGGAGGAGGGCCTCTGGGTGTGCCTGTGGGAATTATCTTAACTGTGGTAGGCTAATTGAAACAGGAAGTCTTGCCCACTCTGAGCGGCACCATCCCCCGGCTAGGGCCTTGGATTGCATAGTTGAGACACAGAGCTGAGCAGCAAGCAACCTTTTATCACTCTCTGCTCTGCTGTTTGGGACAGCTGCTTCAAGCTGCCTTGGCTTCCCTGCCATGATGGAACCAAGAAGCCCTTTCTGCCTCAAGTTGCTTTGTCAGAATATTTCTTTTTCTTTTTTCACAGAAACACGAAAAAAAATGAAGACATCAGGGAAATGCAAATAAAAACCACAGTGAGACACCACTTCCCTCCAAAAAGTAAAAAATAAATAATGCTAGCAAGGATGTGGAGAAAAGGGGCCCCTTGAAACTGTTCATAGCAATGTAAATTAGTGCAACCATTGTCAGGAATGGTGTGCTAGTTTCACAAAATATTAAAAGCTAGAATTAGTATATGATCTGGAAAACCCACTCCTGGGTATGTAGCTAAAGTAATAGGAATCAGTATGTCAAGATATATCAGCACCCCATGCTTATCACAGCACTGTCCACAACAGCTAAGAAATGGAAACAGCTAGCTTAGCATTAGTTGGTAAATAGATGAACATGATTTGGCATAGAGTGGAATAATTGCCACCAAAGGAAGGGGCCCTGTCACTTTTGTGAACCCGGATGCCATCATGTTACATGAAATAAGCCAGACACAGGAAAATCAGTCCCATGTGATCTTCCTCATGTTAGAGCCATGAAAGTTCACCTAGTGAAAGCTGAGAGTCGAATAGAAGTTACTAAAGACTGGGTGGGGCATGGGGATGGAGAGAAGAATAAAGTCAAATAGCAGACACCAAGTTAGATTGGAGAAAGGAGTTCTGATGGTTATATTATATAATTTGTAATTAATTAATTATGTGCATATTTAAAAGGCAAGAAGAAAGGATTCTGAGTGTTTTCAATCTAAAGATGATAGTTGTTTCAGTGTGTGTGTATATATTTACTCTTATTTGAACATTATGCAATTTATACATGTACCCAAATATTGCATAAGAGGCTGCAGTGAGGGTTTAGTGGGTAAAAATATTTGTTTTATATAGTGGAAAGCCTGAGGGTCTATCCTCAGAACCATAAAAAAGTGAGATATGCTGGCATTCACTTATAGGCTGGGCACTCCAACGGTGAGATGGAAAGTGGAGACAGGAGAATCATGCAGAAGCTCGTAAGTAAGCTATCCTAGAGTACACCCTACAGTGGCAGGAGCAAGAGAGATGTTTCCTCAACAAGGTAAAAGGACAGAACTAACACTCAAAAATATATTCCTCTGGGCTCCACACATGATCTGTGGCTCACATATACCATACACTTGTATACACACACACACACACACACACACACACACACACACACAGGATGATGGTGATGATGATATTTTTAAAAATCACAAAACTTTATATATATATGTGTGTGTGTGTGTGTGTGTGTGTGTGTCACCAGATTCTACAACATTCTGAGTTTTTTTTCCTGAATTCTTATTCCTTTTCACTGCTAACTGTAAGTCAGCCAAGTTCAGAACAAAGGCCACCATGGAAACCCACACCAGAGGCTACAACACTTGCTGAGAATCCAGTAACCTGCCTAAGAGGACCAAGAAGCAGATGTCCCAATCCCAGTGTGCCACCAAGGTCTTTATTTTTTCCTTTTTGAAAGGCCACAAGGATGCCCAGGATCTGAACTGCCACTTATGGCCATGTTGGGGTCCAAGAAACGAGCTGCTGCTGGTCCATGCCAATATAAGTGGCCTGCACTGCCACCGGAGGGCACGGTGTCATCTGGCCTCATCTGCTGCAGAGGACCATGTCTGAGTCCATGGCACTACTGCAGCTAGGGTCTGCATAGATGTCTGTGACTCCTGTTACCATCCACGGCTGTGCAGCTGCCCTGGGTCTGGGCTGGTGCCTGAGCATTATGCTGCTGTCAGGGCCATACAGATCAGGATTGGTCTGCTCTGCTCTGCTATCCAGGGCCAAGATGATGCCTACTGTAGGCAGGCTCTATGTTGATGTCCTTCGTTCCTATTACCATCAAAGGCCATGTGACTACCCCAGGGTCTCAGCTGCCAGCTGAGGCCATATTGGAGTCTGAGAACCGTGCTACTGCTAGGCCCATATCAACCTGAGAGGCCTATGCTGCCACCAGCTGCCATGGTGGGATCCAGGATCACTGCTGCTGCTGGTATGTCTCAATCGGTGATCCTGCTGCAGCTAGGGCCTGTGTTGATGGCTGGTGCCTACATTACCACAGGGCTCCATTTGAACCATATGTTGAATCATGTGTTGAAGTATGAGGGCTGGCCTGAGCTTGCCCCTCCTCTCACTTGGGAAGTTTTACACTTAAGGTTTTTTTTCTAATTTATATTTTGTGGCTGGAAAGGTAGCTCAGTGGCTAAGAGCAATTACTGCTCTTGCAGGGAACCCAAGTTTGGTTCTCAGCACCTATGTCAGGTGGCCCATAACTGCTTGTTACTCGCTCCAGCGGGATCCAGTGCCTGGGGGCACCACAGTCATCTGCGCTTCTGTGCACAACCCACATGCAGACACACACTTAAAAATAAAGTACAGTTATTAAAACTGTCTTCTCACTTGTTTACTTACACACACATGTGCCATGGCTTATAGTCGAAGGTCAAAGGACAACTTGCAGGAATCGGTGCTCTCCTTCCACTACATAGGTCCCAGGAATTGAAATCAGGTTGTGAGTCCTGGTGGCAAGTGCCTTTTCCTGCTGAGTCACCTGGCTGGCCATGTGATTTCGTTTTAGAAGAAACTCATGTGTATTAGCTAGGGCTCTCTTCATGTGTATATTATATGTAATTATACATCCACGCATGTATACACATGTATGTACACATGCACACATATTAATGTGTGTAATTATAAAAGACAGTTGATTAGATTGAGTTTCATAATTGTTGACTGAGTAATTCCTCCAGTGAGCATCTGCATGCTGGAGAGTCAGCAATCCAGTAGCAATTTCCTCCATGAAGCTGAACACCTCAGGAAAATGGGCCAGTCTCTGCACCTTCATGGGCACATCCAGAAGTGTGCTTCACTGATCTCCTAAGTGTCTCTCAACCACACCACATGAATGGTCTAGATAAAGCATCATGTGCAGGGTCTCTTAGAAAGCACCTGCTGTATGTTATCTATAAGTGCCAGACAAAAGGTGATACCCACAAGGTTATCTGACCATCTTCTTAGCAAATCAAACCAAACTTTCAAGTACCGTGCCCAACTACTGAGTATAAACCTTTGCCTGGTCCCTAGGCATGCAGTCTGCAGGGCAGCTCTGTCTGCTGAGTGCCAGCATACTAACCTGGAGCCTACACGTGTCCTTCCTGACCCCGCAAAGAGGTTTGTGGATGCAACCAAAATGTAGCCCTTGACATGGAAGGTCATCTTGGCTGTGAAGATGTGCCCACAATCATGAAGGTCAGAAGGTTAGAGAGATGTGACTATAGCTGGGTGTGGTGGTGCATGCCTATAACCCTAGAGCTGGATAGTTTGAGGCAGGAGGATTGTTGTGAGTTCAAGGCTAACCTGTGCTACATAATAGGTTTAAAGTCACAGTGTGAGAACCTTTTTCAAAAAGTCGAAACAACAATAAAACCTGCGGCTAGAGAAGCAGAGACTATGCTCGCAGAAGGAGGGATGGGAAAAGGACAGAGACAGAGGAACAGAGAGACAGAGAAAAAAACCTGAAAGTGGTTTCTAGAAGTTGCAAACAGTAAATCCTTTAAGGGACTGCAACTAAACTGGCCCAGCGAAGACTTAACAACCCAACTGTTTGCTAATGTATTGGTTGTTTTAAGCCATTGGGTTTACGGTGATTTGTTAGTGGCAATCAGAGATGAACACAAAGTGTGATACCTGAAGCAGAGTGCTGCTGTAATAAAGCATAGAAATGGCTCTAGGATTGAGCAATAAACAGAGACTGGAAGCCTGAGAATGATGGGAAAGGATAAAGACATTCTGGAATAAAGTGTTGGCAGCAACGGGAAATGAATGCATCCTGCTTGGCTTCCTTGAGTGCCTAAACACTGCCAATGTTTTGTGTTCAGTTTCATTGTGCAAGGACCAAGGGACCTCTGCTTGCTTCGAGAAAAAGAAACCAAGTCAATATTTCACAACAATGAACAAATAGGACTTGCAAATGCAGTGGTGGCAGGCTTTGGGGGGGTAAGTACATGTGCTCCCTCCCCTTTCCCTTTCTTCCTCTCAGGTCCCTTGCAGTCAGTCATCCCGGCATCAGAGACCCCTTGTTCTATAAGCTGCAGAGCAGAGACCTACTCATTTCTACTTTATTCTCTCTTTGCCTCTTTGCATCCACTCTGATTTGAAATTTCTTTTCTGACTGGTAATCAACACAGAGGACCATTGAATATGGAACCTAGGGTCTGTGAATTCCACACAACAACCCTACAAATTGTTTGCTGTCTGATGTATCAGCATCCTTGGAGCTTTGAAGAAACCCCTCAGCTTCAGCCAGGAAGTCTGGTCAGGCTCAGGAATGCTCCAACTATGAGATATATCAATGGAAACTTCCCAGGAGTCATGCTTTTAAATCAGAAAGGAACCTTGGCCCCTATTTATCTCTGCACCACCCCCACCCTGGAATTGACAGACTTTTTGTCCCAAGTGACTGAGTCAGTGTCAGCTCAAGTGTCCTTCCTGCCAGCCAGAGTTCTTCCCAGCACTATATGCTGCCAAAGGCACTGCTGGGTCTTGCTTGACAGTAGCTTTCTCCCCACCAGATGGAGAAGGTGAGCACCACAGAGAGTTTATTTCTAGATAAAGATGCTCAGTCTCCCTTGTGGAGAGGCTGTCTGTGTCTAAATGTCCCATGCCACAGACCTCAACTGGACATTCAGAGAGAGAACAAGCTATCCATTTGAATGGACAGCCTAGGCTCCTGGGTGTGGAGTCAGGGTGGTGATGAATGGAAACACATTCGGGTTTCAGAGAAGCTGCCCCATTAACAAGATCAGGAAAGGTCTGTACCTTATGCCATCCCCCACAGTCCAGCACATTGTTCTCTAGAGTTGTCCCTTGCACCCCATGTTCAGCTCTCGTATATGGATGGGCCAGTCTATCATTTTATCACTTTCTCTACTTCTTCCTGTCTGCATGAAGTCATCAAGATGCATTTTTCGAAGCTCTCCCCGAGCTTCTGAATGGGGCACATCCCTCTTCATTGGACCAAAGAGTTTCAACTTTTCCTTTAAAGGACAAGGTCAGAGGCAGGACGTGCCTTCACCTTCCCATTCAAAACCTTATTCAGGCTTCCTTATGAGACCCTATCTGATTGATTCTCCCTTCTCCCCCTGATGCAACTTGACATACACATGGCCTCATCTGATTGTCTCTCTCTTCACCTTTCAGTGTGCATACACCACCCTCATTTTTACCTTCAGCTATTCTCCTCCTTCTACCTTTCTTTTTCTTACTGTTTCTGTGTTTTTCTGAAGAAAACCTCTAACTATTATCCAAGGATAACTTTGTGTCTTCCTCTCTCTACGAAGCCTTAACATAACCTTTTTATAGAAGGTGATTAAGTCTCCCCTCCATTCTCCCATGCCTGAATTGCCCAGGCAGTTAGGGAATCAGCTGCAGAGTTACAATTAGAAGTGATGTATCCCAGTTGAAGGGTGATTGGAGCACATGACAGGAAGGACTGGGGTGTTTGTCAAGCAGGTGACTGAGACGCAATACTGGGTACTGGAACAATGGTACTAGTGAGCCCTGTTTTAAAGTCTGTGGCACTGAAATGAGACCTTCAGGTACAAAAGACTGGGCCGCTCATTCTCCCATTCCTCCACAGCATGTATCCCACCTGTGTTGTCCTCTGAGCCTATCTCAGCTTTGTTACTTCCCTAAAGAAAACACCCAAAGCCAGACTATGTACAAAAATAATTTATTTCTCTTAATAATTAGAAATATCAATTTCTATAATAATATTTCAAACAATGACTTGGAATTTCAAGCACAAAGTTTTTCCATTCACCTTTACAAAAGTCATCTCTCATAACAAAGTGGAGAACCAGGTTTCACTGAGGGAAAACAATGGAACCACGTCACGCATCTAAGAAATCCTAGTATTCTGGGAAGGGGATATTGAAACATCAATAAGTTAAATAAGTTTAACATTACTTAAGGTATCACATTCCAGGTCACACTAGTTCATTGTCATTCTGGTCAGTCTTACAGAAGTTCTTGAGTCTGCGGTGGGAAAGGCAGTAGTAGACACATTAACTGCAGGAGCTTGCGTCAAGTTAGCATTCAAAGGTGCTGTTTTATACACAGTTGTAGTTTCTGATTTAGCTTGACTCTGGTCCAGTTTTTTTGTGTATGCCTGGACCCAGTCCTGCTTGGGGTCAGCACAGATCTCTCTCTTGAGCTTGGTGATGAAACTGTGGAAAGAGAGAAGACACAGTCAGATGAAGTTCAATGGCTATGCATGAAGGGGCTGTTTAGGGCTAAAAGAGGAAGGCAGGTAGAAAGGGGAACTCAGAGCAGCCTGCTTCTCCTGCAGGTTTTCCAAGGTACGTTTATGAAATTGGAACGCTCCGAACAGCACCTATAGAGAGTGCTGCTGGGAATGGCTCGTTCCTTCTTGGCCTCAGTTTTCCCATTGGGAATGAGTTGCTGTTGGATCTGAGTGTGTGACTAAGGACCGTCCCTTGCTCTTGAGAAAGAACTTTGGACCAGAGAGGGTTGGTATGTGTAACTCACATCACAGCTTCTTTGGGACACTTGCTGCTGGTGATTCTCTTGTAGCTCTCCAGCCTCTTCTCTGGGATCTTTCTGGCATTGAATGAGTAGCAGCAGGTGAGTGGGGAGTTAACGGAGTCTGGAGAATAAACCAGAAAGGGGGGCACGTTAGACCAAGATAGATTCTTCTGACCTTAGAGAAGAGAAGGGCCATGAGGAGAAGGAGTAGATGTAAACCCCGACACATCAGATCTGGGACTTGACCCCTGACATACTGACTTAGATATTTGTGTTTTAAAGTAAGTTCACAATCTTGGGTAAAGGAGTGCCATTAAAACTAGGTGACTCTGGAGACTGTTATGAGAAAGAACTAATAAGCCAAATTACAAGAGTACAAGAAAATGACCTGGGGACCTTATTCCAAGCTCCTGAAATCTGTGTCTGGTCCTGAGTATCTTTAGCACCAACCCCCTCTGCTAACCTGCTGCCTCTGGAAGCTGGACTGTGTGAAACAGAGGTCTCAGGTCTCTTCCATTTCCCTCCCCTATCTGGAGAAGCAACCCAGGCCTGTCTTTGGTCACCCAGGTTCTCAAATACGGAGGAAAGCAGCTGGAACAGGAACTGCACGAAGATGTGATTCCAACTTTAGATCTCAGAAGGAATAAAACTCTAGTTCAGGCTCTTCCCAGAAGCACCTGGGTTGACTCTTTGCCCTTCTTTCAGTAGCCTCACCTCAAGGGTGATGGCCCATAACAATCCAAACTGGGGTAACATGCTGTGAGGAGAAGGAAGCTGGGGTCTCACCTGGCTGGGCCAGCACGTGGATGCTACAGGCAGCAACCGTGAGCAGTAGGCACAGAAGCGTTCTTGCAGAGACCGGCATGGTGGAGGAAGAGAGAGCTGGCTTCAGAGAGAACTGGCAGGTTCTGGGTTGGCCTGAGTCTCTCTGCTCTTCTGGCAGCTCTGCCTCAGCCTTTTATAGTAAGCCAGTGGGAGGAGTCAGGCTGGGAGCCTGGTCCCTAAGGGCAGCATCATCAATGAGTGAGGAAAAGTGGAAGGCTGCATCTGCTGAGTAAGTGCAGACTCCAGGAGGTTTCCAGGAAGTAGAAGAGAGAAGCTGTGGTTGGAATTTGGCACTTTTTCCAGCCACTGCTGTGAGCAAATAAAGTTGAATGTGGGGGGGGCGTAGGGGAGAAAGGGGAGCAGTCATACTAGACTGGCCACAAGTGTGAATGGAGTGGACCTGCTTTCACTGAAATAAAGGGAAGTGGGCAAGGAACCTAAGGTCCTCAGGGAGATGGAGGCATATCCCAGCTTGCCCCTGGCCCAAGCGACCTCAGACCTGGGAAAGGACTCTAATTAGTCCACCAAGCCCTTGCTTAACATTCCTTGTTGAATGGGGCATTCATTCCATTTGGTGGTTTCCAGATACATGGCAGAACTGGAGAGCTTCATAACATTGAATCCAACTGTCTGAGTTGTAAGGTTCCAGACCTGGGAAGCCATAAAATCAGCTCATGTTGCAGAAGAGATTTCCGTGTAAAACCCATACAGTGCTTAGTCCATGGCAGGAACGTTTGGGCAAAGTCTCTAAATTTCCCCGCTCTAGTTAAGTGGGTATTGTTAATCCCCATTATATAGATCAGGCAGCTGAGGCCCAGAAGGGTTGTAGGTAACTGCCCTGAAATCCAGTGGAATGGGACCCTGGTAGCTCTGGTCTGTATTATCATCATGTTACTCAGCTCCAGCAAACTAACAGACAGCTAACTGGATATGGAGAAACATTCCCCGTGGTTTAGTCACTATGAGCTATGAGCCTGTGGTCAGCATTTACTACTGGTGGTTGCTTGCCTCTTTGATTTCTTCTAGATTTCCAGGTACCATGAGTGAGCCAAGGATCCATATTTGGGAAAATGCAATGTCTTGTTTTACTCAGATTTTCAGGCCTAGATTTCTCCAGAAACAGTAGGATCAGAGCAATAACATCTGCGAGTCCTTAGAATTAATTTCAGCCAATTCATTTACAAGAATAGTAGAGCTCTCTCCTTGGCATGCCTGAGCAGAGTCTAACACTTGAGCGCCTTGATTCCCTCATTCCACACAGTATCCTGATGGGCAGGGAAGGACCTACGACTCATCTTCCACGGAGAGTTATGGAGATAATCTCCATAAAGAAACGGGAGTTCTTGGAAGAAAGCAGTTCTTTGTATGAGAAATAAGCGACATCAAACAAATGACTATATTTAATTCATGTTAAGTGGTCATTAGCAGCGTTATGATGGCTTACTGGGAGCCAGGCACAATTAGCTGTCAAAATACCTAATTACTCTTAGGTAACACAGGTGACACAGGGAGCTGATGCTCCTATTCAGGGTACACGGATTCCGGACATGAGGTTTAATGTTTCATGATGGATATTAGTTCCTAGAGAATCTAGGGCAGAGATTTTATAGGAGAGGACATTCTAGACTCTTGAGCAGAATTAGAAAAAGACAGGACAAAGAGAGGATGGGACACTCATGTGACGCTTTGCTGTACTTCTGGGGACATTCTTTTTGCTCTGCCTGCATCACTGTGTCATTTATTATCTCACCAGTCATTCTCCTACTCCCCAACTAGTGTCCAAACCCCTCTGAGTTTGGCTGAGTCCTTTCCCTGTGGGCTCACTCAATTCTCCTCAAATATGTGAATTATTTTAGGACTAGAGACAGTAGTTTTGCATAGTCATTTCTTCCCAGACCCTCTCACTATGACTTCCGAGGAGTTTTCCTCATGCTCACAGACGCTCATCTCCCATCTGAGTGTGTCTTCTAGGGAATCTAGTCATTCCTCAGACTTTCTCCTGCATCAACAAGATGAGAGATGCCACTGTTAGTCCTAGGAATCAGAGACCCAAAAACTCCCCCGAAAGAATGTGTGTAATGTCACCTTCTCTTTCTATGAGAGGAAACCTATTCCTGACTGATATACACAGACTGATATAGCCCATGGTTACAGGGGAAAGCCCTTGGCTTTGTGGAGCCCTGGGACCAAGCCTGGGAGGTCACTATTGGAAAGTGAATTGGCCACTACAAGCCACAGTTAACACAGGGGAGGAAACCGGGTGTGAATCACAAACAAATCACAGACCAAAGAAAAGAAAGTTATTGCTTATCTCCCTCTCACTTCACTATGTCAACAAAGGATGCTCTTTCCAGCTGGTAGGTCAGAGGCAGAATGGGAGAAGAGAGTGGAAATTCCCCTTCTGAGGTAGGATTGGAAGTTCCCAGTTCCTGTGGGAGAGATATCTCACTGGAGTGTGTGTTCCAGATGCTGGGCCTGCCGCCAAGCAGTCCTCACGTGGGGCTAGGAATCTGGAGTGGCTCAACCCAGGCCTGGGCTAAGCCATGACTTGGGAGCAGCCAAGGGAAAGGCCAGAGGATGAGCTGTAAGGGGAGTACGTACCAATAGTCCAGTGGTCCCCAGCATCCCTTCTCCTTTTCACCACCCCAGATGAGCAATTGAAAGTTTTTCTGGGTAAATAATCTTCTCCTTCTTCCACACAGACCCTGGTCAATGCTACACACTCCCACTCGGTGTCAGAGGTGGAGAAAGAAGAAGTGACAGTGAACTTTCTAGAAAGATCAGAAGCATTTGTTAGACCCTCAGCTGGCCCCTTCCACAGTTTTCTTGCTTGCTTACTCTTCTTGTCCCTGAAGTTCATAGTCTTCTGACCTGCACTTCCAGATGATCTCCCCTGACCCCAAGCCTTTGGGTGAGGTGCATAGCTGGTGCCTGTCTACAGACATCCTCCAGCATCTACCCTCTACTCTCCCCAAGTTAGCTCTCAGGTCTAGGTGGACCAGGCCTGTGTACCTAGTTGAATCTGACATCCTTTCAAGGACCATGGTTTCGCCTTATATCATCACAGAATGTCTAGTGGGAACGGGACCTCCAAGATGAAGGGCTTATTTCCCAAAAAGAGGGACTGAGGTCAAGAATAAGGTCACATGGCATGCCCAAGGTGACACAGAAGGCTAAAGGAAGTATTTATGTTGTCTTGGCTCCGAGCTTTCTCTGTGTTCTCTACCATCTGGTCACAATGATTGTACAGTCAGCATCCACCTTGGGTAAGCCTCAGGGAAAGGGCCATTGGAGGGAGAAGGCCAGACTCAAAGAGCAGCTACCATGAGTACTACAAAGTAGGATCGAGCTTCATTACAAACAAGACCAATGCTTTCCCCAAGCCTCTGACATCCAAGCATGTCCTGGGCTCTGATGTGGCTGTGTTCCAGCTCCATTCTCATGAAGGATCTGAGGGTGTTTGTAGAACGAAAGTGGTTCTGGTGGGTAGGGCATATTGGAAAAGAAAAAGCAGAGTCACTTATAGCAGTCTGAGTTGGGTGGGAAGGGGCTCGTTACTTATATTGTCTCCTGGGCCAGTGGTAGTGGCCTGGCAACTGAGTCATAAGGTGAGAGCTACCCTGGTGTCAGGAAGAACAGAGGTAAACTGATGGGATAGCAGGCATCTAAGTAGCCCTGCAGCACCTTTGAGTCGCCCAGTATGGAGAAGCTGCTATCCTTGTTTGGGGCCTGGATGGCACAGGTGGCCTGAGCAGTGTGGCGATGGGTATGAGGGTCAAGCTAGCACATTTGAAGTAACCCTGTGAAGGCGCTGAGCTCTGAGCAGCCTTAGGTGTGGTGAGAGTCTTAGGTGGGTGGTCTGTGGATCATCCAAATGGAGACAGAGACACTGTTTTAGTGGCATTTAGTGGAGTCCTTGAACATGTATGTTTTGTTCACCCAAATGAAAATCAAGTGACATTCTAGAACAATTGCATTAACCAGATGTATAGCATCATGAAAATTCTTGTGTGGATACAGAGAAGGCTGAGGTGGGGCGTTTGTGGTGGGTTCACTGGGTTGGGCAGATTTTGAACTTGAATCATCACTGGGTGGAGGAAGGACACATACTGGAGAAATCTCTGAACATTGCATATTTTAGAATTCTTATGTAGCCCTTGGCATTGTGCTGAAGAGCAGATGCTGATTCTGTGGGCCTGTGGGCTGAGATGTGTATTGCTAACCATGTAGGTGGTTCTGATGCTGCAAGTGTCTAGCTCCCTTAGAACCACCCGGAAAGAGCAACGGATAGAACAAGATGCTTATGGATGGGACACCAGGAGCTACTCATCTCTCCCAGACTAGCTTCCTGCCTGTGGTCCCCACATAAACTTCAAGGCCTAGAGTGTGGTGCTGTCCATAGCAATTTCAACTGTTTTCTTGAGAAATGGTCCATGATTCTCTTGGGTCTTCAGCCTTCAAAGAAAGGAGGTATAGAAGAAGAGGAAGAAATGAGAGAAAGGGGCAAGAGTAATAGATAAATAAAGGGAGTAGAACAGGGAGCCTGGAAGAATGCAAAGAACCCTCAGTTATGCTACAGTATCATAGCCCCTCTCTCCCTATGTGGACTTGAGCAAGACCCTTGACGTCTCTGGACCTCTTGTGCAGAAGGTGATGTGGAAACAGCTGTTTCTAACATCATCATGCGACTTGTATGAAGAAACAAACCAGGGTGCTTTGTAAGCATTCTGCAAAGAGCTGTGTCAGCCTAAGGGTTGATGAGCATGGACCTGGAGACATCTAGAGGTATATGATCATTTCAGTAGATTTTTATGCTCCTGGCCTTGTGCTTACTATGTAGCCCAGGATGGCCTGAAACTAATAACTAATCTCCTGCCTCAGCTTTTGGTATGCTGGAATTACAGTCATGTACTCCATGCCTGATTCTTACATTTTTCTGGGAGAGTGACAGTAAGGTTCCATTTCACCAAGTGTCCCCTCACCTCTTCTGTCCTATCTGCCAGGAAGGGGAAAGCCTTTGAGGGTTAACAGAACAGCTGAGGGTCAGAGAGAACAATTGTAGAGCCAAGTCAGGGCCCCAACAAAGCAGGCAGATCACAAAGCTCTCTAGCAAAGCCT